CAATGCCCACAATTCTGACTGGTGGAGTGGTGACACCACATCGCGTGCTGGTACGGAGCTATCACACGTGTTCTCTAGCTTTGGCCTCCAGCAGCTTGTCAATTTCCCCACCCGTGTCGCTCCGAATGGAAGACTGTCCTGTCTGGACTTGCTTGCTACGAACCGCCCCCTCTCTGTACGCTCTGTTGATGATGCTGCCCCGCTTGCTGCATCGGATCATTTGCAAGTCATTACAACGCTAGCCTACAACATTGCCACTGCTAACACCTCTTACAACTGCTCTCAGACTCCTACCCCTCCGCGACATGCCTTCCGCAAGGTTACACCCTCCACTTGGTCAATCATCAACTCTGCACTTTTTGCCTGTGACTGGCATCTTTTATTCACCTCCACTACTGTTGATGAAGCTGTGGAGAAGTTCACCACAGTTCTTGATGACGTGCTCTCCTTCTATGTGCCACAATACGGAGCAAGACCCGCTACACCCAAACATGGCAGCCACCACCCTCGTCAGTCCAGCCGTAACCCCAAGATCCCTTGGCTCGACAAAGATCTCCAAGGTGCAATTAAACTCAAATACGACTACTATAGCTTAAGTAAGAAGTACTCCACCTATGCTAATATTTCTTTATACAAAAAACAGCGCAATCTGGTGAAGTCATTGTCACGTTCTAAGTATCGAGCATATTTACGTTCGCTCACTACCACCCTATCTCACCCCTCTTCCAGGCCTAACCTGTATACCTTTGTTCGCACTCAAAGGACAACTAGTACACGTCAAGACATACCACCGTTATTAGCTTCCAATGGTTCGATGGTGACTGACCCCAAGTCTATAGCTAATACTCTCAACACGCAATTCACATCAGCTGGTATTCCAGACGACCATTCCTCTCCAATACCACCTCTGCAGCGTTCTGCGACTGTGTCTTCTGATCTGTGCTCTATACATACCACCACATCATCTGTTCGCAGCTACCTAAAAAGACTAAAAAGCAACAAAAGCCCTGGTCCTGATGCCCTACCAAATGAAGTTCTCAAAGTTCTGGCTCCATCTCTGGCGTACCCACTGTGCCTTATATTCAACCTTTCCTACTCCTCCGGCGTATTTCCTGATCGTTGGAAGATCGCTAAGGTCACGCCCATCTACAAGTGTAAAGGCTCCCGATCACAAGCCTCAAACTATCGTCCAATATCTCTTCTCTGCTCCCTTTCAAAAGTATGTGAAAAGGTATTTTACGACCAGTTGTATTGCCACATTTCACCATGCCTTAGCCCTTCCCAATCTGGCTTTCGGCGCAACGACTCAACCTCTGACCAACTAGCTCGTCTAGTACAAGACATTGCCACCCTTCGTGATGCTCGACACCATATTGCTCTCTGTTTCTTTGACTTGGCAAAGGCCTTTGATACTGTCTGGCATCGTGGCCTCCTTGCCAAGCTACATATTGTCTTTGGTGTGTCTGGCCCTGCTCTGTCCTGGCTGGAGTCCTATCTGAGTAGCCGATCACAGTTTGTTTCTGCCCTCTCCATCAACTCTGATCCTCTACCAGTGTCTTCTGGAGTTCCCCAAGGCTCCATACTTGGACCTCTTTTGTTCGTAGCATACGTAAATGATTTACCCTCTATAGACCCAGGTGTCTCGTTATTTGCTGATGATACAACCCTACTGTCAGCATCCTCGTCCCCAGCGGCTCTTGTACCTCGAGTGTCGGCTCAGATATGCAGTGTCCTACGCTGGATGCAAACATGGCGACTTAGACCCAACCTGACTAAAACCGAAATAATGTTCCTTCCCCCAATCTCATCCATGTCACTTTTACACCATCCTGATTTCCCAGAACCCATAAAGGTTGTTTCCAACCATAAACACCTGGGAATAATGCTTGATGATCGTCTCTCTTGGTCTTTCCATATTGATGCTCTTTGCAGCCGTTCAAGCTCTGCCCTAGGTGTTATACGTCCCCATTGTTTCCATCTTCCTTTCAAATGTAAAATTTTGTTTTACAAACTGTACATCCTGCCTCTTTTCATGTACGCTGCTGTTAGCTGGTGTGGCTTGTCCTCGGTTCTCGCTGAGCATCTCGAAATCCACCATAGAAAACTTCTTCGTATCCTGTTTAGTCTACCTCCTCTCTACTCTTCTGCTTCCCTGTATGTCCTTGCAAATGCTTGCCCACTGTCGACCCACCGTCAAAAATTAATTTGCACTTTTGCTCACAAATTTAAACTAGCTCTACATCCTCCTCATCTTAACGTGTATAACTGGTTCCGAATCACAGATGGCTCCCAGACAAGATGCTCTGTTGCCCTCCCCTTGGCTAAAACGTCCTCCCTTGTACGCTCTCCACTCTTTGTTGCTTACTCTGCTTGGCTTGCGCTGCCCGCTACTACGCGCAATGCCAGTACCCTGGACGCATTTAAATCTGCTCACTAGATTCACCATCACCTGTCCCTCCCATGCTTCTCCGTCTTGACCATTACTTTTCTTCTTTTATTCACCATGGTTGGTTAACACCCACATCTCCCGTACTGGCTGATTTTCTTCTCATGCCATGAGGTGTTGTCTATAATAATAATAATAAATAATCCCCTGTCACCCCAGTACGTATCGAACTAACTAACCAACTTGTTCAGCTCATTTGTGGCAGCACCAGTAAAGGCGGAAACACGAAGATGATTCCGAACACTATCAACTTACTTAGTTTGTTGGGGTGCAAGGTATAGCTAGAGTTTGATGATTGATAGTGCTGATGCTGATGGTAATGACTACTGTACCCAGCTCTATGCACGTACCTCTACATGACTGGTGGTGCTAGCTATTCTAGTACTGGCCCTGGGTGCAACTCATCATCTCTTCCATGCCAGTGTGTATGCCTCATGTTCTGCACAACGTGCATTTCCTTTGTCATGGATAAATACTCTGATCGACCTACTTGCGCAATCTTCTTCTGCTTCCCACTTGGTTGCTGCGCTGTGCAGTTCTTCATCTGCTGCGGCACATACTAGTATACCTCATATTCTGTCTTTCTGGTCAATTAGGTACATGTATTCAGCTTCTTGATCTTCTTGTGGTGAGGATCATCTTGATCTTACTTCTTGTGTAACTCTTGCAAAGGCAGTAATGGAGGACACTCTACCGGTAATCAGCAACTGCTTATGGAGAATGCCAGGTCGAGGGACGACCAGGAAAAAACAATTGCTGTATTGGATGTGCATTCATCAGCGTGTTTTAAGATCAGGACAACTAAGTTCGCCACTACACCAACTTTTTGGCTACATAGGAGCAATGATGATGATGGCCGTGTTTGACTTTGTCAGCTTTCGTGCTACCAGCCACAGCATGTCAACATTGTCATACTCGTACTGATAAGGAAGAAAAACCCACACACGCACGCACACACACGCACACACACACGCACACATCGATACACTGACAGGCATGCAAAGCAAGAGAGACAGAGAGAGAGAGTCAGGCAGCGAAAGAGAAGTGAGACTACTTGTAGGTTATGGGCACGGTGCTCCAATTTCTGCCCAGCTGAAGTAAAATCCATGTACACTATTTTCGTGTAGTGTTCATTGACGGTGCCAGCCACTGGTGAGTGACCCAGTGGTGTAGGTGTTGACATTCAGCACACATCACATTTCAGTCTCCAACGTAAATTCAGTCAAAACAACACTGCACTGCAGCAACATGGGAACATGATTCTCCCAGGCCCACCATGCAAGTGCAGTGTGCGCCAAGAACAATTCCAGGTAATTCAGCAGCTACCCGAGGATGGACAGGTTCGGCAAAAGCACTCCGCGAGTGCCTGACGTTTCCAAACGTATTTTGTTGACAGTTGTTGTTTCTTCCTTCGATTGGGCAAGACACGATAATGTGCCAACCCAGCCAGCAATGAGACACATGCATTTGTATCCAGCAGGGCTATTGTAAGACTTTAGAGAGTCCTTTGCATATGTGCTGGGGACATTCACTAAATATTTAGAGAGGCCTGGATACCTAACGCAGGGGGATTGGCTGAAAGGTCTTCGTCCATAGGTAAATATGGATCAATGTACTGGGTCCACGGATTCTGTCAATCTTCTCGCGGCAACGCCTCTTCAAGGCTGGAATAAACAGTAGAGTAACCACGGCTAGTAATCATCGCGACTTACCGAAACTATTCACCACATCAAAGAAAAGCAAAAGTGCTTCACCACTGCGACGGCCTGCAACATCATTTTTAACCGTACCCCGAACAACACATTTGATTCTCTTTTTGCCACCCAAGCACATTTTACCGTAGGACACGGACTTGTCTTATGGGTGATCTTTGGGTGGACACCGGGAAGGCGCCAAGAAGGTGATGTAATGGAAAGACCTCTATATAGTACAATGACCGGGGGGGCCTTCCACTACGGGGGTCATTCTACTATATGACACCGGCATTACCACGAGTGATTTCCTGAAAGCTGCTGGCTGAAGCTCCCAGTCCGTATTTCAAAAAATACTTCTATAAACCACAGCGTGATGCTTAAAATGCTCAGGCTGTTCTCTCGAAGCTGTCAACCACTGGAAGAGAGCTAAAAAATCACATTGATATTGAGACCGAGCATTCTGAATATAATATAATTACAAAATGGCTCAGGCCACGCAGCGGTTGCCAGCTATTCTGGATTATAATATGAAGAATTTGATGACGAAAGTATCAATGTCCCAACCCTGGCCCTCCCAGTATGAGTCTGTTCACTCTGTTGATTTGTTCCGAGGCTCGCTATACAAAAGATGAAAGAGCATCTAAGGAACAAGACCTTTTATCAGTAGAAACTGCCGTTCATGCATGCGTGAACACCAATAATAAAACAGTAAAAGACAAAATACGTAACTGTGCTTGGCACATCCTCGGCTGCAGAGACAGTATTGTCCGGGATTTCTCAACGATCAATTATTGGTCCCCTACTATTAATTTTCGTAGACGACTTACCTGCAGTCTTCCCTAGACCATCTTTGTTTGCTGATGACACGATCGTCGGTTTACCTCACTGGCCTGAAAAACAACTTGCGTGCTGGCATTCAGGAAGTTCAGGAAGTTCAGGGTCACCTCATCGGTGCTGATGGTGTCTGCCCAGACCCAGCCAAGGTGTCTGCCATCCAAGCTCTGAAGTCACCAACCAATGTGCCCGAGTTACGCCGTGCTCTGGGCATGTTCACGTTTCTGTCGAAGTTTGTGCCAAATTTGGCCAATGTCAGTGCCCTGCTCCGTGCTCCCCCGAAGGCCCACACCGCCTGGCAGTGGGATACCCAGCAAGAAACTGCCTTCTATCGCCTCAAGGAACTCGCTACTACTGCTCCCTGCTTGGCACTGTTCTCGCCCGACCAGCCCGTCCGTATTAGTGCTGATGCCAGCAGCTACGGACTGGGTGCTGTCCTCCTGCAGCCTGATGGCTCCCGCTGGCGCCCTGTTGCCTATGCGTCCCGCTCTCTATCTCCTACTGAGCAGCGCTATGCCCAGATTGAGAAAGAGTGTCTTGCCATTGTTTGGGGATGCGAGCATTTCCACCACTACATCCACGGCGGTCCTCAGTTCACAGTCGAGACTGACCACAAGCCTCTCGTGCCTCTCATCAACTCCACCGATCTCGCCCGCTCTCCCCTGCGATGCCAGAGACTCCTGATGCGCCTGAGGAGGGGGGGGGGGGGGGGGTCGCCCGTTTTAAGAAACTGTTACCCCAATGCCTTGCTTTTTCACGCTAGTACCTATGACTTTCAGCTATGCAAAATGCGAACATGATCACCTATCCAATACCGGTAGTCTATTATATTAATTATTCAAGGTACGTTCGGGCCTGATTGGAAATTTTTATTTCCATTGCTATCAGGTTCGGCCTCATTTTCTCTGTGCTGCGCTGATGAGTTCAAAAAGAACGAAACAGCATGCTGTCCGCAGATTGAGTATTAATTATTCATATTTTTTCCATCTTTCCCTCGAGTGGGTCTATTGTTAGTAGGCAATTGTCTGTTATAGTCACCACTATAAATAAAAATCCAATCCAATCCAATCCAATGAGGTACAACCCAACCGCTATCCACGTGCCCGGCAAATCACTCGTCATTGTCGACACTCTATCCCGTGCTCCGCAAGAGTCCTCACCTACTAGTGACCTTGCTGATGAAGTACAGCTGCATGTGTCTGCCATCACATCGCATTGCTCCACCGACCCGCTCTAGGTCGACTTTCGGAACGCGACCAACGCTGATGACGACATGTGTCGCCTCCGTGCCCTCATCCTCATCGGTTGGCCAGCCAAGCACACCTCGGTCCCCGCTAGCCTCTGCCCGTACTTCGCTGTTCGCGATGAGCTCTCAACTGCTGATGGTCTCATATTCCGTGGCCAACGTGTCATCATCCCTGCATCCCAGCGCAACGCCACCCTTGCCAGTGCTCACGAGGGTCACCGAGGCGTTGGTAAGTGTCGTGCTCGTGCGCGTGCTGTGATGTGGTGGCCTGGTATGTCCACGGACATTGAGTCGTATGTGATGTCTTGTGCCACCTGTGCCAAGGCCCGTCCTTACCCAGCCCAGCCGCTCATCTCGTCCGAGTTCCCATCTCATCCATGGTCAAAGATCGCGTGTGATCTGTGTGCAGCCAAAGGATCCACTTACCTAGTTGTTGTCGACTATTTCTTGCGCTACATCGAAGTCAAACAACTTACCACTACTACGTCTGCCACTGTAATTGCCTCTCTCCACTCCGTGTTTTCTACCCATGGTATTCCACACACACTAGTCTCTGACAACGGTCCACTATTTGCTAGTGCCAGCTTCCGTGCATTTGCTGCCGAGCTTGGGTTTGCCCATCGCACGTCACGTCCTCGCTTCGCCCAAAGCAACGGCGCTGCAGAACGTGCCGTTCAGACAGCCAAGCAGCTCCTTCTGAAGAACGACGACTTGCCTTCCGCTCTCTTGGCCTACTGGTCTACGCCATTGGCCAACGGTTATTCACCGTCACAGCTGTTGTTTGGCCGCCAAATCCGCTCCCGGTTTCCAGGACCCCTCCCTGCTCCAGCCTGGCCCGATTTGACCGTCTTTGCCGACAAAGAAACATCTTCCAGGTTTCGGCAGGCTGATCGCTACAATCAACGCCACAGTGCTCGACTGCTGCCTGTTCTCGCCCCTGGTGCTTCTGTGTATGTCCCCGATATGGACAAAACAGGACGCGTCCAGAACCGCCTGTCCGAACGCTCTTACACGATCGACCTCACTCCTGGATCATCTATCCGCCGAAATCGTCGCCATGTGCGTGCGTTGCCATCCACGTCAGCCAAACGCCCTAATCCCTCCCGCTCAACCTCCTCCATTGAGCCCATGTATGAGGTTGAGTATGGTGTTCCTGCTCCTGTGCATGTTGCCCTGCAACCACAAGCTAACTCTACTCTGCCGCCTCTTCTGCCTGTGCCGCAGTCTCCTCGAGTTGCTAAGCCTCTGCCACCCAGTCGCAGACCACAATCCAGCCGTGTTCGCCATGCGCCGCAACGCTATGCTGCCAATACCTGAACACAGTAACACTGTTTACTCCATGTGTTCCAGTTGAACTATGACTGTGTTCTTTTCATGTTTGTTTTTCTCTCTATCATTCTGAGTAATGCTCACGTTGGTACCCGCTCCAGAACTGCTATCGTTCCTCTTCCTCTCTCCTTTGCTCCACACTATCTCGTGTCCCTCCGTTCGCATTTTTTCGGGGGGAGATGTGCAGTCACCTACTTGTGCCTATATATTTGGCATAGTGCATCCATATGTAATTTGACCCCGCTTCCTATTTCACACCTTCGCGTACGCACATGCACCTCGCATGCACCAGCGGCAACTGTTGCGTGACTGTGCTGTTTACATGCCTACTCTGTTCTCCGTGTTCTCTTCTTCTCCTTCTGTCTTCATCAAGTGTTACGGAGGTAGCCTCAATTGAAGTATTATTCGTTCTCGTTCTGCTTTTTTGAATGTTGCTGAATAGTTTTCCTCTCCATGCTCTGCTAAATCGTTGCCTGTACGCGCCACGTCTAGCGCCTTGTTTCTACGCTAGCACTTAGCACCTTATTCGTCATCACGCGCTCTTCTTACATCTAGCGCCTTGTTTCTACGCTAGCACTTAGCACCTTATTCGTCATCACGCGCTCTTCTTATCTACATGCATGTGCTAAGTGTTGGTGTAGAGGCAGGGTGTTAGATGTGGCCGTCGCTCTTGCTATATAAGTTCATCGGAGCGTAGGCACAGTTGTTGTTTTCCAGTGTTCTGCTTGTGATGGTATTCTTCTGAATGGTCATCGAAGTAAATCTGAGTATGGTTCAAGACAGTTAGTTGCCTTTCGAGAATATCTCTGGGTTTATGAGCCACATTATTTGGTAGCAGAGGATGGTTTGAATGTTAACCATGGCGGAAACAAAGAGTTCTTTGTCAGTGGCAAGTGACGAGAGTCTGCAAGGAACGGACCAAGTCGGGGCGGACGTAGGTTTGGCGGACGAACAGCAGGTCCCCCGTAGTGGCGGTTCAAGCAGCATTCAGCAGTCAGAGGGCACGGTGAAGGATTTTGGAGTTTCCGATATTGATGACGAAGAACAAGAATATGATGATGAAGAACCGGCGTTCAGCGAAGAATGCCTGAGAACGATGAAGATCAATGCCAAGGCCAATTTCACCAACATTCGAAGACGTTTGCTGACTCGGATAGTGAACGGAGAGGGGATTGGTGATGACGACCTTGGATATCTGGAACACGCGTACTCTGGTGCAGCAGGCGTCGTGGGCGATCTCCTAGGACTGTGCTCTGGAGACGGAGACTTGTCGAAACGGAGGAAGCTGGTTGCGGAGCTGGAAGAGCTTGAGGAGAAGTACAGCGCAGCTGTGAACAGAGCACTGGAAGAAGCCACGTACAGCGCTAGTGTTGGTGGGCGGTTTGGAGCTGGTCATGGCTTGGGATACAGCCAGTACTCGACGGCGAGGTACTCAGCTCCAATGATGACGCCAGATCACTTGACGGAGGTGGGTGCGGAGCGGTCTGACTTTGGCCAGTTGGGAGCCAGGTCAATGCTGTACTCTGGGTCTGCTGGATCTGGGCTGGTGGAATCTGGCATGAAGACTTCTCCTAGTAGCCTAAGTGCCTTGGCCTTTCATGAGAGTCAAGGTGTCACAAGTCCACTCCGGGTTCCAACACCATCTACTGCCAGTACCTCTAGTGCTGATCAGACAAGCAATGGCAGTGCATCAGCGCCAGTGACCGGTTCCGGTGGTAGCAGTGTGTCAGTGGCCAGTGCTAATGATGGTACTGCCAGTAGTACTATGCCAGGCGCAGTCAGTCAGCCCACCAAGAGGAGCAGCGTCAGCAACACCACACTGGGAACGGCCCAGCTGACCAAGAAGTCTGTTCAGTTTAGTCAGAGCCACCAGTCCACTGCCAGCACTCAGTCCAGATTGAGACCAGCAGTGAGTGTGTTATTACCCCCTAGAACGGTCCCTGCAGCTGGAGGTGCAGCTGGAAGTGCATCAACGGTCGTCCCCGCTGTGACAGTCCCCAACACATCCATGGCTCCCCAACCGACTGGGTCCTCGAGCAGCCATATGTATCAGCCTCCACTGACGGGTGAACGACCACTAGCAGCCGACATCGGGCCATGGGCGAGTATGAAGAAAATCACAATACCCACATTCGATGGCGATAAACGGCGCTTCGAGTCCTGGTGGGCAGCGTTTTCCACCTGTGTGGACAAGGCACCGCTAACCGCGGAATGCAAGATGCTTCGACTAAGACAGTATGTCCAGGGTGAGCCGTTGAAAGCCATCGACCGATTCGGGTACACCATCGCTGCGTATGATGCAGCCAAGGCCCTATTGCACCGAAAATATGGCGGAGAGAGGCGCCGAGTTGCCATCCATCTGGAAGAAATTGAGGCCCTCAAACCCGTGCGGAAGGAGCACCCGAGAGACCTGGAGCTGTTCTCGGAACTGCTGGCAGTCGCTGTCATTAACTTGAAGGACTCGGGCCGAGCTACTGAGCTGGCGGCCGGAACCTTCTACCTGACTCTTCTCAAGAAGCTGGATGAGCAGCTGATCACCCGCTACCACCGGTGGCGGCATGAACAAGCTAAGGCTGAGTCGGTAGAGGAGCTGCTTGAGTACTGTACCCAGGAAGCAGAGTTCATGGTCTCCGCTGCGGAGACGAAAGCTGGCTTGATTCCCGTGAGTAAGGCAGAGCCGTCACAGCCAACAAAGGTCCACCGGTCGCCTCGACCAAGCACGTTCGTGACCAGCAGCCAGCCGGCAGCCAAATCACAAAAGTGCATCGTGTGCCAAGGTGAACACAAGCTGTGGCAGTGCCTATCCTTCAAAGCTGCGACAGTGAACAAGCGATGGCGCATTGCCAAGGATTCAGGTGTGTGTTTCCGCTGCCTGGATGTCGGCCACAATGGATGCGACTGCACGCGGAGTCGGCCATGTGGTTTGGACGGGTGCACGAAGCTCCATCATCGCTTTCTGCACGCCACACAGAGCAGAGGCCCTGTGTTTAGCAGCGTGACACGCCCGTCCACACAGGCACCAGCAGCGAACTCTGTCTCAGGGCGTCGGGCAGGACGCGCTATGCCAAACACAGCTAGCACCCAACAGTCGTCCAGCCAAACAGAGCAGCAGACATTCTGCTCCGTCGTCACGGAGGGTTCTCCGTCCACGGAAGAGGAGTGCTACGCCTCCCAGAGCACCCACGTGACCATCAGCCTGAGGACGATACCGGTCACCATCAAGCACGGCGACACAAGCATTCACGTCAATGCACTGTTGGACGATGGCAGCACCATGAGCTACATCAGTGAGGGCGTAGCACACGAACTTGGTCTGCACGGGGAGTTGCAGAGCATCACGGTCAACACGTTGGACGGAACACCGAGTACATTTCAGTCGGTGCATGTGTCTTGCAGCGTAGCAAGTGTCAACGGCATGTTCAGCACAGACCTCCATGCTTGGACAGTGCGGCACCCAACAGGACGCCTGAAGCCAGTCAACTGGCACCGCGGCGCATCGACATGGCCACATCTCAAAGGGATACGTTTCCCTCCCACCGCCAAGCCTGATCGAGTCGACGTTCTGCTCGGCCTGGACTGTGTCGCAGCGCACCAGTCCTTGCACGAGGTGACTGGTAAGCCGGGTGAACCAGTCGCACGGCTCACCCCGCTGGGATGGACCTGTGTGGGGCCGGTACGGGCGAGCCCAGGCAGTTCGCGTATGGGGCATGCGTACCATGCGCAGCTGCAGCTCGGCGGCAATGAGATCAGTCAGCTACTGCGTCGCTTCTGGGACGTCGAGGAGCTAGCCGTACCCGACTTGCCACACTTGTCACCGGCGGAGGAGAAACTGCTCACAAAGACACGGGAATCCCTGGCGTTCAGCGACGGTCGATATCATGTGGGCCTTCCGTGGAAGACAACACCACCGGTCCTGCCCGACAACTTCGCCATGGCACGCAAACGACTGATTGGCACCGAGCGGAAGCTGCTCCTAACGGACGGTCTGGGTACCAAGTACAGCGCCATCATCCAAGAGTACTTGGCAAAGGGCTATATCCGCCGTGTGCCGAAGGAGGAACCACGACCACACAGCATCTGGTACCTGCCTCACTTTCCGGTGGTCCGTCTGGACAAGCAGACAACGAAAGTGAGGATTGTGTTTGATGGGTCGGCGCAGTTCCAAGGCGTCGGAGTGAACGACTTCCTCAACAAGGGGCCGAAGCTGCAACGGGACATCTGCGACGTGCTCCTGCGGTTCCGCAAGCATCCTGTTGCTATTGCCTGTGACATCAAGCAGATGTACCTGCAGATTGGTGTGCACAAATCCGACCGGCCATACCAACGATTCCTATGGCGCAACTGTGATTCCGATGCGCAGCCTGCAGTGTATGAGTTCCAGCGTGTGGTATTCGGACTCGCCTCATCACCATTCCTCGCTCAGTTCGTCTCCCAGGAACATGCGAGGGTGCTCACCAGTACGGATGAACGTGCGGCTGAAGCAGTCAACAAGTCCACATACATGGACGACACGCTTGATTCCGTGCCAACCGTCGCTGATGGCATCGCACTCTACAAGTCTCTTGTGAAGGTGTGGGAGTCGGCCGGCATGCACCCGACGAAGTGGCTCTCAAACTCGACCGAGCTTCTGGCAGTGATACCTGAGTCAGAACATGGACGCTCCATCGACCTGTCACCAGGGGAGCTGCCAAGAGTGAAGACGCTAGGCATCTCGTGGTCCGCTGCTAGCGACGCTTTCAGTTTTGCCATCCCACCGGATTCCGGCCAGGAGTTCAGCAAGCGGAGAGTGCTACAACGGGTAGCATCCGTCTTTGACCCGCTGGGTCTGCTGGCGCCGTACATCATTCGAGGCAAGATGCTCATCCAGGAACTGTGGCTGCGAGGCTCGACCTGGGACGACCCACTGGAGCCCTCTGTGGACAAGCTGGTGAAGGAGTGGATTGCTGATGCGCGGGATCTGCAGACGCTACGCATTCCAAGACCACTCATGGCAGCTGACGGTGTGTCGTCGCTGCACGTATTCGCAGATGCCTCCGAGAAGGCAATGGGTGCTGTCGCCTACATCATTTCCAAGGACCCCAGTGGAGCTACATGCCGGCTGGTTGCAGCTAAGTCTAAAGTCGCCCCGCTGGAAGAAGTGAGCATCCCACGACTAGAGTTGATAGCTGCCGTCATGGCAGCCCGTTTGGCAGCCGTCGTCAGCCTTGCTCTCGAGATGCAGGATATCTATCTGTGGTATGACAGCATGAACGTCCTCTGGTGGATCCATGGTCACAGTCGGCAGTTCAAGACATTCGTGGCCAATCGCGTCTCTGAGATTCGTCGTCTCACACAGCCAGAGCAATGGCGGCATGTGACCACTGACCAGAACCCCGCAGATCTGGTCTCTCGTGGGTGTACTGCAGCAGTGCTGACATCATCGGACCTATGGTGGACTGGGCCCGCATTCCTGTCAACCGACGAGCCATGGCCTGCCAGCCCTACGCTTCAGCCCAGCTCCGGCGCTCGGCAGGAGGTAAAAGGTTTGCCACGCAACCGCTCGCAGGACATGCAAACGTATCATGCAGACGTCCAAAGTGCCAACGATGCACCACCCGAGCAGGATTGGATCATTGACCCAGCAAAGTGGCTAGACTGGCAGAAGACCATCCGTACGCTCACATGGGTCCGGCGGTTCATCTCGAACTGCCGTGCAGCAGCAGAGGATCGCCTGGCAGGAGAGCTCACCCCGATTGAGTTGGCTGACGCAGAGCTGTACGTCGTTCGGAACACGCAGCGTGATGCGTTCGCTGCTGAGATAGTCCTCCTGAGGAAACGCAAAGCAGTGCATGCTACCAGTAAGCTGGCCAAGCTGTGTCCATTTCTTGACGACGATGGTGTTCTACGCTGTGAAGGGCGCTTGCAGTATGCGGAGTTCCTGCCACGAGACGCTGTCCATCCGATCATCCTGCCGCGGAAGCATGCCGTGACCAAGATGCTAATCAGGTTCCAACACGAGAAGGGAAAGCACGCTGCGGGGACGAACGCAACATTGTCTGCGCTCGCCGCCCGCTATTGGGTCATCGCCGCACGGGAGGCCGTCCACGAGTGGGAACAGGAATGCGCAGTCTGTCGCCGGTACCGGAGCAAGCCAGCTGGGCAACGAATGGCACCGCTGCCGGTCAGTCGGATCGTGCCCTCTCATCGTGCGTTCAGCCGCGTGGGCGTCGACTACGCCGGCCCCTTCCTCACCATGCAGGGACGCGGTCGGGCCAGAACCAAACGCTATCTGTGTGTATTCACGTGTCTGGAGACGCGCGCTGTACATCTGGAGCTCGCATTCTCACTCGACACATCTAGTTTCATCAACTGTTTCTTCCGGTTCGTGAGCCGGCGCGGCCTTCCCAATCAAGTCATATCGGACAATGGCACAAACTTTGTTGGTGCAGTTCGGGAGCTGAAGGACCTCATTCGCAACATCGACCAAACAAAAATCCAGACGGGCACCGCACATCATGGTGTGTCCTGGTCGTTCAACCCTCCAGCAGCACCTCATTTCGGTGGTGTGTTCGAGATTATGGTGAAGGCAGCCAAACGTGCTATTTACCACATTCTGTCTGGCAGTGACATCACCGACGAGGATCTGCTGACCGCCTTTGCCGGAGCAGAGGATCTGATCAACTCTCGCCCGATCACTGCCATATCAGTCAACCCCAACGACAATTTGCCCCTCACCCCGAATCATTTTCTGAACGGGAGACTTGGAGAAGTCGTCCTACCGGAGTCTGATCATCCGCGTCAGCGATGGCAACGCATTCAGGAGCTGCTTGGGCATGTCTGGCGTCGCTGGATCCAGGAGTGGCTGCCTCAGCTCAGCAAGCGGGTCAAATGGACGGCAGACCAACGCAACGTGAAGGTTGGTGATGTCATGCTGTTGCTGTCTCCAGACACCGCTAGGCGTAAATGGCCCTTGGCTCGGGTTCTGGAAGTCTACCCCGGGAAGGATGAACGAGTACGTGTTGCCAAGGTGCAGGTGGGTGATCGTACTCTTGTGCGACCCATCAACCGCTTGTGCCCACTGGAGTATGCGTCAGAGTGATGGACTGATGTGGACAGCTTTTCTGCTGTCTGTCTTCTGAAAATCATTGCATGTCCTCTATCTTCTTATTATTATTAGTCAGCGGTATTGCTATATCTTTACCCTGCTGCGGACCTGCTGTCTAGCCACCTGGACTTGCTTTTCTAAGAGCACGATGTTGGGTTCTTAGTGGTGGAGCTAGTAAGGTACTATTTATTTTGTTTTATTTCGATCTGGTCACGTTGTCTCATATCGAGGAAGAGGAGAATGTTACGGAGGTAGCCTCAATTGAAGTATTATTCGTTCTCGTTCTGCTTTTTTGAATGTTGCTGAACAGTTTTCCTCTCCATGCTCTGCTAAATCGTTGCCTGTACGCGCCACGTCTAGCGCCTTGTTTCTACGCTAGCACTTAGCACCTTATTCGTCATCACGCGCTCTTCTTACATCTAGCGCCTTGTTTCTACGCTAGCACTTAGCACCTTATTCGTCATCACGCGCTCTTCTTATCTACATGCATGTGCTAAGTGTTGGTGTAGAGGCAGGGTGTTAGATGTGGCCGTCGCTCTTGCTATATAAGTTCATCGGAGCGTAGGCACAGTTGTTGTTTTCCAGTGTTCTGCTTGTGATGGTATTCTTCTGAATGGTCATCGAAGTAAATCTGAGTATGGTTCAAGACAGTTAGTTGCCTTTCGAGAATATCTCTGGGTTTATGAGCCACATCAAGTATAGTTTGTAATTCCTACCTGAGTGTGATGGTCGTGTTGGACTGAGAGAGTGTGCATGGGCATTTACCCTTGTATTGTATTGTATTTTATTATTTTACTTGGGCATTCCCAACAGACCCTAAGGTCTTCTTACAGGGTGCCCAAGATGAATGAAATTGTTAAGTTCCTGGCGAAATGAATTGGGGATATGATTTGTGCGAAGGGATTCGGGAAGCGCATTAAAGCGGTCAGCACCAAGGAATGAAATAGATCTGTATCCAGCTTGAGCTTGCACAATGGGTAAGGAAAGGGAATAATTGACTTGGCCGCGGGTTACTCTGTCTGTGTGAGCGCAGTCACGGCGAAGGGAGAACATGTCAGAGAGGAGTGAACTGCAGATATTGTAGATGCAACGGAACACGAAGAATATGGACTTAGTATGATATCTTTTGTCTAAGCTAATTATCTGGTATCGCTCAAGCAAGTATGATGTCCGCGTGAATGTGTCATGCTCAAACATGCATCTAAGTGCTCTCTTACTTATGCGCAGCAGCTGATCTCTCACATTGTCAGCGAGGCAGTGGACGTAGGCAGTGCTGGAGTACTCGAGCTTGCTCTGGACTACTGACAAGTAGAACTGACTTCTGGCCTGGACAGCAAGGTTCCTCCTTCCACGTCGAAAAGCACCTAGTTTCTTTCCGATGTCTTCCCTGAGGGAGTTAACGTGGGCACTGAAACTTAAAGTTGAATCGAGAGTTTGTCCTAGATACTTAACTTCGTCAGACGGGGCAATAACAGTCGAACCACAGACAATGCTCAGGTTAGGTGGGGGATGTGAGCGTCTGCTGTGGATCAGTAGTACTTGGCTCTTGCTGGAGTTCAGGAGCAGGCCGCGATCTGTGAGGTGCTGCTTAACCACTGAAAAATCGTCTTCTAAGTAAGACATGAGAATTCGTGGACACTTTCCAGAGGCATACAGGGTGGTGTCGTCTGCATAAAGAAGGCATTGGGAACGCAATGGCAGAGTGGGGACAAGTCGAGTGTAGATGCTGAAGAGGGTAGGGCCTAGGACGGAACCCTGGGGAACGCCCCTAGTGCAGGTTCTACAGTCACTTGTGGTTCCGTTCACTTCTACGCGTTGCTGTCGGTGAGACAGATACGACTTGAACCACTCAAGACCCCCCTTAGTGCTGTTGCAGTAACGCAACAGTTAGGAGAGGAGGTGGGAGTGGCCCTGGTGTGTCTATGTCGCTGAGATCTAGCACAATGGATTCGCTTGTTACTGGTTTTTCAAACGAGCCCAGGATGACGAAAATCCCTCAAGGTTGAGTGAAATGAGAATATATTACGTTCAGAGCTGTGCGCGCAAACTACTCCAAGAGAGTCAGTGCGCTGGCCAGCCGGCCTATTGGAGAAAAGGGGCCAGGCATGGAAAGAGTTTAGCGAAAACGGTCATTTTTAAAGAAAGTTCAGAAATTCACCCAAAATGCAGAATAAATTCAATCCTTTGCAAGCTTTTACGGTACTCGTACCTTAATTTCAAATTAATAAAAAGAAGAGCACGTATAAACTGCTGAACATGTGTGTGTGTGTGTGTGTGTGTGTGTGTGTGTGTGTGTGTGTGTGTGTGTGTGTGTGTGTGTGTGTGTGTGTGTGTGTGTGTGCCAGCTAGTTCGGTTGGTGGGTACACGTCTGCCTGATTGTGTTGGGTCTGTTGCCAAACGGGCTCGGCTGCTTGAAGGTGTAATGTTGTACCTGCCACCTTTGTTGGTTCCAGGGTACTTTCTATTTGAAGTATACATACCTGTTAACCATGAACTGCTTCTGGCTAGATTAACTCTTGTGTAATCAATGGTGCTAGTGAAGCTTATATCAGATCCACTCTGATTTAGCCACCCACACTAGTAGCAAGTATTACCTTCACTGGGAGCAGGGGTAACTGCAGTTGGATCCCAGGACGGATAACCTGATGCCGTCAATCCTTTTTCTGCACCTTGTCCTCACCCACTTACTGAGGTGTGGTGAGCCCATAAGTGGGATCATTTTCAAGTCCACCCAGAGTTTTGGGGATTTCAGGGGGTGTCGGTCGTTGGGCGATTCAATAGCCAATTGAGTCATCTTTCCAAGATTCCTTTTGAGTCGCTCTCCACTCTCCCGGGGAGACCCACGTGACCAGTTTTGGCAGCGAGCAACAAGTACAAACAACGCACTCTGTACGATGTACCCCAGACTGACCATTGTCTAGTGCTTGGCGATTTCAATGCTCAAGTTGGATCTGGTGAGCAGGGTGATGAGTGGTCCACTGTACGTGGTTCCCATGGATTTGGTGCACTGAACTCTTCAGGAGCTGACCTGCTATCATTTGCTGCATTCAATCAGTTGAGTATTTGTAACACCTGGTTCCCCAAGCGAGACCTCTTCAAGCGGACTTGGCAGCACCCAGGCACTTTGAACTGGCACTGTATCGACTACATTCTAGTGCGGCAGGAGGACCGCCGTTGGTGTATGGACACTGCGGTCGCGCGCTGTGCTGAGTGTGGAAGTGACCACCAACTCATCTGTTTAACTTTTGCACTCCCGTGTGGACGATTAGTTCGGGAGCGCGACCAGGCAAATGTGCGGCGCCGCCGTTATGATGTTGCCTGGCTGCGGGTGCGCACCTGCACCTCGGACCCGGACTCACATTCGACTGCAGAAAGGTACCAAGCTACCATTGCAACCGAGCTTTTAGATACATGGCAAGAAAAGCACGACATAGATCAGAAATGGTCCAACGTCAAGGCGGCTATCGACAAGTCTGCTGCGTCTGTCTTGGGCTTTTCCCGGCGTCGCCAACCAGACAGGTTTCGGGAGGCAGAGTCAGCCATCCAGTCATTGCTAGATGAACGGAATCGGTGCTATACCGACTGGCTATGTAGTGGCCAGAGCCGCGACTGCTCGCACTACACAGCCTTTAAGGTGGCTAGATCCAGGGCACCTGCTTCCATATCCTCGGCTAGGATAGACTGGATAAAGGCAAAGGCACAGGCGGCTACAGAGTCGAGATTCAATGGAGCGGTTGTATGGAAGAGCATCCATGACCTCCAGTCTTGTACTCGGGGCCTCGCCCCTGTGCGCACTTCCGCCGTGCTGGATGAGAACAGTAACATCTGTAGTTCGCCAGAGGAGCAGAGCCACCGGTGGGGAAGACACTTTGACGGTGTCCTCAACGTGGCAAGTACATGGAATCGCAATGCCCTGGACGACATCCCACAGCGACAGGAGGTTGATCATCTTGCTGAGGCGCCGACTCTCCATGAAGTCAGCCTCGCTATCTCCCGCCTACAGAACGGCAAGTCCGCTGGAGCCTCTGGCATCCTCCCTGAGATGCTGAAGAGGGTGGCCCTGACCTCACCGCCAAGCTTGTGGAGCTGTTTAGCGATGTGTGGCGTGCTGGGGTGGTCCCGCAGGAGCGGGTGGAAGCCACATTGGTCCCCATCCCAAAGAAAGGGGATTTATCTCGCTGTGATAATTGACGGGGTATCTCACTGCTGGATGTTGTGGGCAAGGTTCTGGCGAGAGTCATCCAGACTCGTCTCCAGTCCGTGGCTGCAGATTTTCTCCCAGAGTCTCAGTGTGGCTTCAGGAGTGGCCGATCTTGTACAGATTATGGTTTTCAGTGTTCGGCAGTTCCTCGAGAAGACCATTGAGCACGACTGCAAAGGCTTCTTTGTATTTATAGACCTCAAGAAAGCCTATGATTCCGTGCCTCGGGATTGCCTGTGGGAAGTCTTATCCCGAGCGGGTATCCCTGCTCCCATGCTTGCCGTGATCAGTTCCTTTCACACTGACATGTCGGCGGTGATTCGGGTAGAGAACACGACAACTGACCCTATCCGCGTCACGAATGGTCTCCGCCAGGGGTGCACCATGGCACCTGTGCTGTTTAACATCTTCATGTGGGTGGTGGTGACTGTGTGGCAGCGACGAGTCCGAGATGTACCCGGTGTTGGTTTTGAGTTCCGGCATTGTGATGGTGACAATAACCTTTACCGCAAGCCTACCAGTAGTGACTACACCCAATTTCCCAAACTTGCTCCGATTGCTTCGATTTTGGTCTCATTCGATTCTCCCAGGCATAGTACATAGGAAATTTGCAAGTGTTATTCAAATCGCCCCAGCCATTCTTGAGTTATAGTGATTTGAAGTGCGCAAAGTTGGACTTTGCTGGACACAGAAATGAATGGGAGTGATGGGAGAATCGAGAGCGACCGCACAGTCAGTGTATACAGTACAGTGTACAGTGCACACGCCTCGTCACTCGAACTGCGCGTACGAAATTGCATACTTTGGTATGCTGCCGCAGAACAAATTCGCTCGTAGAGGAAGACGAAAGCGTCTCACCGCCTTGTAATTTCACATGGCCAGTAGTTTTTCGACGCTGAAGACGATGGTATAGTCCGCGACGCTGCGACCCGACCAGAACAACCCGAAATTCATACCCTGAAAAAGCGCTGAGCGCAGAGCTCCTAAATTTTGTCGTATGGAAACGGGACTTCGGGTCTCAAGGGCACGAACATCTCCTCTCTCAGATAAAGCAATTCACTCGATGCGATATTCTACAATTTGACCTGGCCACGCCGAAATGCACTGCCATGTCGGATTCTCCAATCGGAAGTATAGAAACTTGTTTCCAAAAAATCAGCGTCTGTGTGCGAGGGAGTAAAGTCACTACTACCAGGACGGATCCGGTTGCCATTGCCACTGAGTCACAGTTTGCAGACGACTCAGCACTTTTCGCGACAACTCGTGCAGGGGCGGAGACGGCACTTGCAGTGTTTGACACGACCGCAGCTAAGTTTGGGCTTAAAGTTAGCACTACCAAGACACAGTTCTTGGTTGCAGGCAGGGATGTTTCACCTGGGGACTGCGCTCCAATCGAGCTAGCTGGCACGGTCATCGAGTGTGTTTCGGAGTTCCGGTATCTGGGAACTCTCATTCATCGTGGTGGCCGGTCGACACAGGACATCACTGCTCGGATTGCGCATGCCTCTCGTGCTTGTGGCGCCTTGCAAGGAACCATCTTCAGCAATCCTGACCTTGATTTGCATATCAAGAGGTGTGTGTTTAATGCATGTGTGCTGTCGCTCCTCCTCTATGGGTCAGAGTGTTGGACACCATTCCAACACGATCTCCAACGTTTGTCAGTCTTTCATATGCGGTGCATCCGTTCCATCTTGGGTGTGTCCCGCAGAGATTGCTGGAATAATCACACGACCAACGCCCAACTGTTGGAGATGTGGGGTGACACTGATACAATCTGTGTGAAGGTCGCACAGCGTCGCCTAGAGTGGCTGGGCCATGTTGCCCGAATGGACAGTAGCCGGATGCCGAGACAGATCCTGTTTGGCTCACTTCCCACCCGCCCTCCAGCACATGGCCCTTGAAAGCACTGGAAGGATTGCGTTGTCTCCGACCTAAGAGTTCGTGGCCTCACCAAGGAATGGTACCCTATTGCCTGTGAGTCCCGCGCTGACTGGCGGACTATGTACGCCGAGCCTGTGGAGAATGTGCATCAGCCTGGCCTAGTGGTATGTGCGGATTGCAATCGATCATTCTCGCACCCTGGAGATCGTGCTCGCCACAAATGTGTGGTTGAGCGGGCAAAGCCGATTGCTGAGCAGCGAGGGGCTTGCCACTGTGGAGATTTTGGGCGTTGGTTTCGAAGCAAGGGTGGTCTAGCTGTTCACCGCTGTTCCGAACCTCAGCCTCAGCCTCCCGAGCCCCGGCAAGTCTATGTGCAGGATGCCTGCTGTGCTGCGCACTGTGCTATGTGTGCCCGCTGCTTTCGGTCTGTGCAAGGCCGCGGTCGTCGTCGGTGCTCGAGGACTGGCCCGCGCCCGACTGCGGCCCAGCAGCGTAATTCGTTCAGCCATGTATGCGTGTGTACTTGCCGGTTCCGTTTGCCCCACCATCTCCGGCGTCATCAGGCTGCGTGCTCCATCTTCCTCTCTGATGCCCCTCCGGGGCCCACTTGACCCCTGTGGCAGTGGCTCTACAGGGCAGGACAGGACAGGTGTGTGTGTGTGTGTGTGTGTGTGTGTGTGTGCCAGCTAGTATGGTTGGTGGGTATACCTATGCCTGATTGTGTTGGGTCTGTTGTTAACATGTTGCCAACAGGCTCGGCTACTTCATGATGTTGGATTGGATTGGATTGGATTTTTATTTATAGTGGTGACTATAACAGACAATTGCCTAATAACAATAGACCCACTCGAGGGAAAGATGCAAAAAGATATGAATAATTAATATAATAATAGACTACCGGTATTGGGTAGGTGATCATGTTCGCATTTTGCATAGCTGAAAGTCATAATTACTAGCGTGAAAAAGCAAGGCATTGGGGTAACAGTTTCTTAAAACGGGCGGAGTTATCCACACAGCGAGCTAGAGGGTGCAAATCATTCCACAGCTTAGCACATTGGAAGGAAGCGCCATGACGGGCAAAGGCAGTTCTGAGCATGGGCAACTTAAGAGTGCGTGATACAAGGCTGCGCGTTGCAAGACCATTATTTAAACGCTCGAACATTTGACTTAATGTGACACTACAGCGGCCTTCCAAACAGCGCCACGTCAGATACAGTAATTTCTTGCAATACATGGTTGCCAAACGATCTAGACCAAGTCTCGCAAATAAAGGGCTTGATGGGCTACAAAAACCAGTATCGTACACTGAACGCAAAGCTCGCTTTAGCATTCGTTCAAGCCTACCTAACTGGGTTAAGGAAAGGCCAGCAGAAAAACAATTTGATGCATATAGAAAATCTGGCAACACTAGGCACTTTACGAAGGTTTCTCGGCAAGTCAGCGGAATATTGTGTCGATTTCGGAACAGAATACCAATTTTACTGGCTAGTTTGGAGACCATAGAATCAACTTGAGTGCTCCAAGAAAGATCCTGGTCCAAATGTATTCCAAGGTACTTTGCACATGTCACTTGCTTGAGCTGCACTCCATGGCAGTAGACTGCAAATTGGTGGTCAGTAATATGTGGCGTAGACAGGAAGAGCACTTGTGTCTTCCGAGCATTTAGAATTAAATTGCGGTTTGACAGCCAGGTACTAATGGCTGAGACAGCTGCAGACAGGGAGTTGCTAAGCGCATTCTTCTGCGTACCGCAAACATACAATAGAATATCGTCAGCAAATTGAATAACTTTCACACAAAACTCGGAGACAATGGACTGGATCGAACGAACATAGAGTACAAAAAGCAGCGGACCAAGAACAGAGCCCTGGGGAACGCCACACATGCAGGGGAAAGGAGGGCTATAGTTCTCAGCAATGTGCACTATTTGGCGACGATTGGACAAATAGTCGGCAAACCAAACTAATGCTGAGCCAGATATGCCAAGCTCAAACAAATCATTAATGAGCACTTGGTGCCTGACCTTGTCAAATGCTTTGGACATATCCACGAGCACAGCACCAGTAATTTGTCCGGCATCGCGAGCGCGAACAAACGTGTCCGTGACGAAAACTAGAGCGTCTTCCGTTGAATGTTGACGTCTAAAGCCAAACTGACAGGGAGGGTACAAATTCTCCTTGTCCAGAAATGAGGATAGTTGTCTATGGACAATTCGTTCTAACAGCTTCGACACAATTGGCAGGAGAGACACAGGGCGATAATTTCCCGGATCTTGAGGATTTCCGATGTAATGTTGTACCTGCCACCTTTGTTGGTTCCAGGGTTCATATACTTTCTATTTGAAGTATACATACCTGTTAACCATGGACTGCTTCTGGCTAGATTAACTCTTGTGTAATCAATGGTGCTAGTGAGGCTTATAATTATCAGATCCACTCTGATTTAGCCACCCACAATAGTAGCACGTATTACCTTCACTGGGGGCAGGGTTAACTGCAGTTGGATCCCTGGACGGATACCCTGATGCTGTCAATCCTTTTCTGCACCTTGTCCTCACCCACTTACTGACGTGTGGTGAGCCCATAAGTGGAATCATTTTCAAGTCCACCCAAAGTTTTGGGGATTTCAAGGGTGTCGGCCTTTGGGCGGTTCAATAGCCAATTGACTTACCTTTCCAAGATTCCTTTTGGATCTCTCTCCCATCCCCCGGGGAGACCCACGTGACCAGTTTTGGCAGTGAGCAACAAGTGTGTGTGTGTGTGTGTGCGTGCGTGTGTGTGCCGGCGATGGGCATCAAAAGGTCAAAATTCGAAGGTGTGCGTGTGTGTGTGTGTAAATACATGTACATGTACGTGCGATGCGCCAGTTGGTAAATTCAAGTGGTATTTGAGGAGATGGATCAAGTGTACCAGTAACCAGTGACGAATCCGACCATTTGGTGTGGTCCAATAACTTACTACGTAGCGAGCAGTACTCTCCAGCATGCGTGCCAGTACTGGCGTTCTCCAAAAACGGCCAAAAATTCCAATTCTGGTGAGGCGCTGAAGACATACCTAAGCCTGCCAGCGTCCATTCTTGGAACTGGAAGACATTTGCGAAGCCAGTAGTTACGTAACAGACTGTGATGTCTCACCGTGTAGGCTCTTCCACACAAGAGCTAAGGTGTACTGGTGCAAGTGGTCTGACACCTGGCCCCAGCCGGGTTAGCAGAGGCCCCAGCCGGGTTAGCAGAGGCCCCAGCTGAGTGTCGCATGGCTACACCATAGACAGTGCGGATTGATGGATTCAGCAGAACCAGCAGCTTCCTGGTGTGAGCACTCCACGGTAAGCCACCTAAACAGATTGAGCGTCTGGCAGTACTACGGAGGTCACGTACCGTGCCATTGCAGCTTCACTGTTGCCGCGGCGTGCGCACCAGAGTGCACCGATCGCCTGCGCCATCTTGGCTGCCACTCTATCAATGTACTCCTTGAATGTCAAAGTGTCGTCCACAATCACTCCGAGACACAGTAAAACCCGTGACTAACGACCACCCCTTGGGGTCAGAGAAAAGCGGTCTTTAGCAGCAGGTGGTCCTTAGTTAGAGGTTTGCACCGCACACCCATAATAAGTGAATGTGAGACCGACCGTGCCTGGCGAAGTGGTCTGTAGTACCAGGCTGGTCGCCAGTCACGGTGGTCTCTAGTTACAGGTTTTACTGTACTTGATGGAGGAGGCTTCCC